AACAAAATGTTGCACATGAATTATAATTTTTCTACAGATTATGTTTGAAAGAAAGTATTGGAAGGTCTTGAACATATTTATCGAACTCATGGAATCTCAAAGTCGCTATATATGGAAGTTTCTATGTAAATACAAGTTTAATCTTTTATTTTTATTTTTTTTTCAATATTTGAATTATTTTTATAGTGCAGTTTATGAATATTGTTTACGTTATTTATTAGAACGCATTCCATCAAGAAGATCTACTCGAAATAATCGACAAAATGATGTACCTATTGAAGAATATGTTGTTGATGAATTATATATCAAATTGAAAGATTATTTAAAAACTTATTTAGAAGAAATTTGTGAAGTAAGATTAGTTGTTCGAGAGAGTAATTATAATTACTATTTATTAAATAATAAGGCTATGAAAATTTTTGTTGCTAAAATAGGATAGTCATCATGAACATCATTTTGTCATGTAAAAGATTAATGAAAAGAAAATATTCTGAATTTTTTGTAAACTTATGTATCAAAATAGGAAAAATTATACATTCAACCGCGAAAATATAGTGAATACTGAAGGAGTATAGAACACACAGTGGCGCAACCAGGAATTTTTTCCAGAGGGGGACCATCATAGAGAAAAAGTGATTTTTTGCTTGTGAAAACGAATATGTCTGTACCCCCCTCCAGTGATTTAAATCTTTCAGGGGGGGGATTGGTCCCCCCAATCCCCTCTCTGGTTTCGTCACTGAGAACACATATATCGGCTTCCATAATTGTGACGCGATGACGTTTTGTCCACAGTTTTTTCGAGTTTTTTTCGAAAGTAGACTATTTAGATATTTGATTGTTTCATCAAATGATGCATTTCTCTACCCTGTCGCAATTTCTGAACACTCGAGTCGGTTTCGTTTAGTCGTTTGAAAATTCTGTCAAAAATATTGAACGAAATGCAATGATGAATAATCGACAAAAAAAGTTGAGGGTAACATGTTTTTCTCTGGATGCGCACTACATTAGAAAAACCGATCCATAAGAATTTTGTAGCCGACAGTGTGAAGTATTCAGCGAAAAAATAAAATGATTTAATAAGATCATTTGTTGGCTCATTATTTTGGTTTAATTAACACAACGCGATGACGAAAATCAGTAAAATGCGCTCTCCTTTTTGCTATCGAAATTTTGTTAATGATTGACAAATAGAAGCAAAATCACCTATTCTTAGAACAAAGAAGAGATTTTGCTCAGTTTCAGCTGGGACCTATAGCACAAAAGCATTGATATTAGAACTCGTTTTTTTTTGAATTTTCCGATATTACAGTTGACGTGTTACTACGATTTTTTACCGATATGCATCCGTAGCATAGTGTTCTATTTTCAGAAGATCGAATTAAGACAAA